CCCGCGGGACGGAGGCGCAGAGTGTGGCAGGCGGCGATGCTTTCGGCGTCAGTGTGGGCTGGCCTTGCGCCTGAACCGGCGGTGGCGACGGCGGCGGCTGGGCGAGCAGGGGGGCGTGGAAAGGGGCACCACAAGGGAAGCGCGATGGATACGTACGCAAGGGGACCGAAGATGGTGAGAGGCTCGGAGGGAGCCGGACGAGCACCGGCAGGAGGAGGCGGGCGCGAAGCAGCAGCGCCGCCGAAGGCCAGAGTTGTTGTCGGTGCTTGGGTTGGAGGCGAGGGCCGGATGTTGAGAAGGAGGCGGCGGTCCTCGGAGAGGGGGGATGTCGGCCGCGCCGACCTCTCGGGGCAAGCGGAACAGGAAGAGGCATCTCTGTCGGAGAGGCAGGGGCGAGGAGGACATGCCGCCGGCTCCCGCCTCCCCCCATCGGAGGGATCGACGGCTCTCGCCAACGATGCAGCAAGGCGCCGGGGTGACAGCAGCGTTGAGGGTCGGCATCCCGCGCCACCAACGAACCTTGGGTTGTTGCCAACCGGAGGGGCGGCGGTAACGTTCGAGGTAAGCGGAACTCCGCCGCGTGCCGGGCCGTGGTGGCAAGCCTGGGGGGTCTACGGTTTGGGCTCCCCAAGGTATCGAAGGGAGGTGGTAGTAGTAGCAGCAGGGCCGATGAAGAGGGCCGGGAGAGACCGCCTTCTTCGCGAGATATTTTAAGTTTATGAGGAAAAAGAACGGGGGAGGGGGTACGGAGACCCAATCCCTATCCCCACCCCCCCGATTGCATGCTTTTCCCAACATGTTCACGTAAACGAAAACCCTTCGAAGGCTACTGAGGGGCAGGGGCGGGAGGGGTGGCCCCGCCGGAGAACCCAGAGCCGAAGAGACTCGGGCGATGCTGAAGAGTGGCCGGAGGAGGAAGAGGAAGACGGCGACGAGAACGACGACGGCTTCGGGTCTTCCGGGCTGCTGGCGCTCCTGGTCTGCTTCGGGCTGCTCTTCTGCGTCATGGAAGGTGCGTTTTGGGGAGGTGTACGACGTTGCCCCCTGCAGGCACGCCACCGGCGGTGTGTGCGGTGTGATTTGGTGGTGTGAGTCGATGCGTACCTCTGCTATTTATTTGTCCTCCCATGCATCATGTGTGTTGTGGTGTCTGTTTGAGTGGGCGTGATTTGTTGTGTGGGGCGGCAGCGGAAAGGCATCGTTGTCGGATCGCCTGGCTTCGAACGTCCTCGCATCGGCTAGAGCTGTGCGAGGATTGCCCAAGCGTCAACACACAACGCAGGATTCGTGTTTCTCTAGGGACAAGCTGGTGGGTCCGCTGGTTGAAAGGAGCCCAAGCATGAACACGCAACTGCTCTCGTTCCTGTCAGAGGATCTGGTGAATCCTTGCACCCTAACACAAAAGCGGCCCAAGCGTATTCATGATATCTCAGGCGAGCCGGTGGATCAATTTACCTTGTTGCCAAACCATTCAGCCGCTTAACGTGAGGTAGGCGCCAACTGACTTCCCCTCCTCGATCTTGGATGCTTGCACCGCTCCTCGCCTCGTTCCTCCGCCTTTGTTTTTTTATGATGTTGTTCGCTTGTCCAGTGGCGAAGTGCTATTTCCTCTTGGAGTGCCGGCGTCGGCAGCGGTGGCGCCAACGGGGAGCGACAGGGGATACCCGCCAGGTAGGGGGAAAAAACGAAAAAGGGGCAAACGGGCACTGACTTGAGCACGAGACCATCACGCCGATGGTGTCGTGAGAGACGCGTAGCAAGGGCGCGCATGCGGCATCTTCCCATTTGTGTGTAGGACTCCTCCGTCAATTGGTCGAAGGCTAGGCTAGAGATGTCGGCCTACGTGATTCCGGCCATTCCTCTCCGTCCCGGCAACTCTGGCTTCCCTAACCCACACATCTGTGGTGATGTTATTCGTTGTCCTGTGGGAAGAAAAAAAGAAAATGGCACAGCAGTAGACTATGCATCAAACTGCCACTTTGTTCTGTCCAACGTGATACCGTGTTCAGCGTCTTCACAAACTGCTTGCATTCATGTCTGATCTCCCACCCTCTCCCCTCTGCTGCTTCTTGGCCCTCTCCTCCCTTGACACGTCGCCCAATGGCGAAACCACTTCAACTGCTCCGCCGTGGTCCAGATGCCCATCGCCTCTAGCCGAGTGGTCGTCCCGGTGCCCCAAGGCGACCGAACGAAGGATGGGTGGGTGGAGGTTGTCGTGGACGGCGTCTGGATGAGGTGAGAGTCGCCCTGTTGAGGTTGGTGGGCTCAAGCGCTCAGGCGGGTTTCGGTCGGTGTGTTTCGTTTCCCGCCACGCGCGAGCAATTTCTCCCCTGCCGCATTTTTTGTTTTGTTGTGTTGTATTATGATCACTGGCCTTGAAAAATGCCGTCGCTGATTGCGAAATGAAGGTTGGAAGAAATCCACTCCTCCCTTCCCTCCGTTTGCCATCCCAATATAGGGACAGCTTTGGCTCCAACATCACAAGACGCGGCCCGTACGGCAGCAATCCTTGACGCATGCGGAAATCGAGCTGGCGTGAGCACCCCCCCCCCCCCCCC